AACGGAATTTTCTAACAATTTTTAAATCCACTATAAGATGGATAATACCTAGGTTTTATTAAACTTTAACCCTTTTAAAAATCTAGGGGTATCAGGTCTACTGAGCGAGCTAACGAAACACCAACAAACGATATGAAATATTCAACTTTTTTCTATTTGACAGTTAAATGCCACAGTTAAATCTGATGAAGTAACCAAGATTTAGGGCCGTTCTATTTTACCTCTGGGTAAGTTACTAATAAATAACAAGATGATTTGAAGTGGTTTTACTTTCAACATTTTATTTATGTGTATATTCACATTATGATCTTCTAGTAACTCACCCAAAGGTGAAAAGATCGGCCCTTGGGAAAATTTCTTTAAGAAATTTGACTTACAGCTTAAAAATTTTCGATTGGATCTTTTTTCAGTTGAATATGTGTTTATAATAAACCTATAAATAAATAGTGGATTACAATCAACGTCGCGACACCTTATTTGGACCCTGTTGACCTACAGCGTAAAGATAATTGTAGAAGACACCAACAGCCACAAATTAACTTAATATACCGGGTGTCCGGTATAAAATATTTTGGACAATTTTTTATTCATTTAGTGCAAAAGCCAACAAGCAAAAGCCCAATTACAGGATTAGGTACATTGAAATTATGTATAGATAAATACCTACTCATAAACAATGTTTTGTTTTACAAAAAATTCTTAGTGAAATATATAGGAACAAGACAGAATTGTATATACCTACTTACACAATATACATATAAATATACATTTGGACATATACATACATATACATACACACATAAATAAAGAGTACAACGGAGTTCTTGATTACACTACTAGGTGTCATAGATACATTTGGTGCATTGGGGAAGCCATGAGAATATTGGTTCTTGGTGCACTGGCGGTTCTTCTATAGGGTCATTTGGTCAATGATCTCCCACATACAAATAAAAAATAGAGCTATTCATTTTCTGAAGTTTAAAAATATATAATATATATTTTTAATATTCTTAAAAAATATATTAAAGTTTCTAGTTCATTCTATGCACAATAATATTCAAATATCTAGATCGCAGGATTTCGTATCCCCTCCGAGCACCGAGCCTCTACATTCATATTCATTACATTATTCATTTATAGAATTTAAAAATCTTGGGTCAATCCACAACTTGTCCTCAAAGCTAGCTACGGACCGAATTTACAACGAATTAAAGTGAAATAGACTTATGCGCGAATCGTCAGAAAGCAAAAGAGACAGAAAACACTGGCGGGGACAATGACCCTGACACATTTTACGGAAACGGTAAAGCACGATCGCACAGTTCGGTAGAGCAGTCTTAATGGTGACTAGGTACGCGTTGGTCGGTAAATTCTGTCGCGTTGTTTTTAATGTTTTTATTTGTGAACATTTTATTAGTAAATCTCTACTTGTCGTGAAATTAAGTAAAACAGTGTTTTTGGTGTTTACTATTAAATATAAGTGTTGTACAAAATATATTAAAACTGAAAGATGGACATAAGTTGGGCTATGAAGACCTAGTGAAATTCAAAGGTTAAATTTATACCTTGTCGTAACAACATGTTAAGTTTTATTGCAAGTACATAAACGTCATTAAACAGTTTGTGTGTTGTTTCATTTTTTCATCCAGTTAGTCAAGAGCAAATACAAATGTATGTGGTTTAATTAACTCGCAACATATTACATGGTCCTTCTAGCCGATATGGTATAAACACAAGAAGAATTAATTAATAATTGTAATTAACATCAGTTAATACAGTGATATTATTCAACAAACATTTTAAATACGCACAAAGAATAAGTGTCGTAATGATTCATCAGAGCATTGTTGCATCAGGTGTCGCATCAACCATCAGAGGCGGCGAGTTCAGCAAAAAATAAGATCAGATCCATTTTATCCTATATTCCTGTTACTTTTATAAAATAATTCACACAGGCAGATTAAATTTGTACCTCGTCGCAACAACATATTAAATTTTATTGCAAGTACATAAACGTTAATAAACAGTTTGTGTGTTGTTTCATTTTTTCATCCAGTTAGTCAAGAGCAAATACAAATGTATGTGGTTTAATTAACTCACAACATATTACATGTTATATATACATATTACAAAATAAAATAATAGACTGTGTATTATTCTGTGGAGCTTTTGAGCTAGCACTACGCGGACATGACGAAACTGAGTCCTCGATAACCCGGGAATATTTCGAGGTCTGGTAAATTTTGTATCTGAACTAGATGCCATTTTTAAAGACCATTTGCAAAACAGTACTGTGTTTAAGGGGCACTTCGAAGGCAATTCAAAATGAACTGTTAGATTCGATACTGGCGATTATTCACGAGGAAATAAAATCTGAAATTAACCAATCTGACTTCATTGCAGTTAAAGTGGATGAAACCACAGATAGTTCCAATAAAGTACAAGTAGTGGGTTATGAGGACCGAGTGAAATTCAAAAGGTGGTGGCCGTCCAAAACCTAATATGACGATAAAGCAAACATCTCTTGATAAGAAAAAGAGAAGTTAATAGGTATTTTCGAAATTCAATGTACGATTTATCCGAGTGGATTTGCGGATGAGAGGTAAAAAATGCATTTTTTTGTTTCCCATGTCTGTTATTTGGTGATGATCCTGATCCTATATGGTCCAAAATAGGTGTAACTGACTTGAAACAATTAAAAATAAAAGTACAGAAACATTCGCTCGCATCAAGTCATATGAATAACTGTTGTAGTCTAGCAACACTTGGTACAGTTGATATTAGAATGCAGTTAGACAGTACCTATAGAAAAAGTTTAAAAGCTTACACCGAAAACGTTTCTAAAAATAGATATATTTTAAATAAAATAATAGACTGTGTATTATTCTGTGGAGCTTTTGAGCTAGCACTACGCGGATATGACGAAACTGAGTCCTCTGATAACCCGGGAATCTTTCGAGGTTTAGTAAATTTTGTATCTGAACTAGATGCCATTTTTAAAGACCATTTGCAAAACAGTACTGTGTTTAACGGCACTTCGAAGGCAATTCAAAATGAACTTTTAGATTCGATACTGGCGATTATTCACGAAGAAATAAAATCTGACTTCATTGCAGTTCAAGTGGATGAAACCACAGATAGTTCCAATAAAGTACAAGTAGTTTTTGTGTTTAGATACGTTTTAGACGGTGTTGTATGTGAGAGATTTTGGAAATTTATTCAGCCTCAAGGAACAACCTCGCAGCATTTGACAGATGTAATTTTAAAAGAGTTAGAATGTCTGAAAATTAATGAAAGTCCTGAAAAATTGATAGCACAAAGTTACGATGGAGCATCAGTAATAAGTGGTGCTTTTGGACGTGTACAAGCCAAAATTAAAAAAAGTTATCCCTCAGCAAATTTTATTCATTGTTACGCTCATCAACTAAATTTAATTTTACAAAAAACATCAAGTCAGGATAAAAGCTATAAAATTTTTTTTTTGCTAATTTACATAGCTTTTCTTCATTCTTTGGAAAATCGCCAAAAAAGAACAGTCGTGTTAGATAATGTTGTTAAGGTGAGATTACCTAAAGCGGCTCCAACACGATGGAATTTTAATACAAAGTGCATAGAGACTGTTTATACCTATCGAACAGAATTATTAGATTATTTAGAAAAAATCATTGATAATGAATCAGAAAACAACACTCTAAACCAAGCTATTGGTTTAAAAAACTACTTACAAAATGAACATTTTCTTTACTGGTTAAATTTTTTTCATTTAGTTATGCCTCATTCCATTGTGATATATTGTTCAATCAATTACAAAAATGTAATATCGATGTCATAATAGTAAATAAGTGTATTGGCGTTTTTAATAGTAAAATTGAAGACATCAGAAATAAAATTTTAAATAACTATTTGGAGGAGACATCCATGCATGTCTGCCCAGAGATGTAAAACGGAAGAATCAAAAAGGAGAATTTCATTAGAAGTTTGTGATATAATTACATCTGAGATCAAAAACAGGTTTGGTTTCAGTAATCATTTAGCAGTGTCTCAGTTATTTCACGCATATCGATTTAAAGATTATAAAAAAAGCTTTCCTCAAGATATGTTTAAATTAGTAAAAACGGAGTATCCAGTCATAAATCATTTGAAACTTAAAACTGAATTAGAAGTATTATATAGCCGAGAAGATTTTTCCAATAGTGAAGGTGCAGTTGCTTTGTTACAGTTTTTTATTAACAATAATTTGTGCAATACTTTTTCTGAAAGTGTCAAACTGTTAAAAATCTTGTGTGCTCTCCCTATGACTGCCGTCGAAAGTGAACATTGTTTTTCCACCTTGAAAAGAATAAAGACGTTTTTAAGAAATACCATGGGTCAGGAAAGGTTATCTTCTTTAGCTATGCTTACCATAGAAAGGGCATTAATAAAGAAGATAAAAGACTTAATGAAAAAGTAATTGACCACTTTGCATCTGAAAAAGTCCGGAGGATCGACTTGGAATTTAAATCACTTTAAAAGGTAGGTAATACAGTAAACTTTTCTAAACCCTATCTTTGACCCACGAACCACCACTGGTGTGTAAAAGAAATAAGTTTTTATCGCGAGCAGTAACTCTAGGAACTTTATAATTTACTTGATTTAAGTAACGGGTTAATACAATTCAGGCGGTTATTAACAATTTTATATAGAAAAATTATGGTTTGAAATATTCCTCGTTTGGTGAGACTTGATAGGTGAAACCTTACTAACAATATATTTTGAGGAAATCCAATAGGTCGTGGATATGAGCCATCAAACGTCTACCTGCAGATTTCAAAAACTTGCGCTGAATATTCTTTATTGCAATATATTTTTATTTTTAAATTAAGCACCGCCGGTAATACAACCCCCTATATCCCTAAAGTAACTCATGATACCGTGTGTGGGAGACGGCTACATATTTAGAGACAATAAACAGACCCAATGTCCGAGGATGCTAGGATTAGTTTCTGATTTAGAAAAAATCCTAGTTCCTCGACTGGGGATCGAACCCGGGACTGCTGGATCAGAGCTGTGTTCTTACCACTCAACCACGAAGCCACAATTGATAAGTTTGATTTCATACAACTGAAGCATATTCAAGGCGAGATCTCACAAACGTTACATAGAGTAGACGATGAGTATTGACATTTTAAAAATCTTTACCATTCTTTGCAGTTCCTGATTACAAAGATAAGACTCCTTAAAGCAAAAATAGTTGCCATTTCAACGTGCTTATTAAATAAGAGTTTAGGATGAACATACCTGCCAAGGTATTTAATAATCAGGTCTTTATAAATCAACATTATCGATATTATAATAATTAAACACGTACAGATTATTTTTGCGGCCAAATAACATGACGTTACACTAACATTGAGGTGTAGATAGTTGTTTATGCACCAGAGATTGACACTATCCAAGGTTTTTTGCAGAATTTCAAAATCATGAAGAGTATTAATAAACCGGTACATTTTTGGGTCGTCTGCATACAAGAGGAAGTGGACATTATTATCCAAGATTTCGAAAATCATTATAACCTCAAAGAAGAACGGTCCCAGTATCGAACCCTGTGGCACGCCAGACCTTTTCAAGAAACTATTCAACTTATGGCCACGGTACAAAAATTGGTGTCGACTCTCTAGATACGACTGTTTTAAAAGAAGTAACGCTTTGGGAAAAAATTTGTCAAGTTTACAAATCAAAGCATCATGCTAGAATGATATTTTCCGCGCTATTGTAAAAAAATATTTGGTGAAATTTAACGAAAAGAATACATATTTACCATTCATGCATAGTACCGATGCAACCAAGCTCAGAAATATGTACTATTTTCACTAAAATGCACCACCAGCTATTTCCATTGACATACCAAATGTCTTTTATGGACTAATATTTTATCATTTCATAATATTGTACCGTGTTCCCCATAATACAATTGATTACACATTGCATGGATAATAATATTTTAATGGAAAATCAATCTGGATTAAGAGAAAGCCATTCCTGTGAAACGGCACTTCAGTTCATTATTATATCGGAATGGGTTAAGACAATAGGTAAAGTTCAAATCATAGTGGCAGTGTTCTTAGACTTTAAACGTGATTTCGAGACGGTATATCGGAAGTTATTTGTATCAAAGTTAGAAAAAATGGGAATTGGGGGGACTGTACTTGAATGGATCGAATCCTACCTAACGTAGAGAAAACAAAAACCAAGATATATAAATAGTGTGTCTAACGTATTAGATAGTGACTTCGGAGTACCGCAAGGACCAGTCCTAGGACCTTTATTATTTGTACTATTTATAAACGACATAGTGAAATCTATAAAAAATTGTAAGGTACATTTATTTACAGATGACACCTTAATTTATTTGTATGGAGAGAATGTAAATGAGGTTAGTAATGCTATTAACCAAGATTTAAAAGATATATTCGTGTGGTTGTGTGAGAATAGCTTCAAAGTAAACATCAACAAATGTAAATATATGATTCTCGGCAAAGAAACATGTACTAAGCCGACTACAAATTGGGGAAAGTATTGTATTAAAAAAGTTAGAAAAAAGTTTCGGAAATAAAATACCTTGGTTTTTTAATATATGAATCCTTGACTCTCAAGTGTAATAATGACTGCATTATTAAAAAAATTGCAAAGAAGACTTATTTTTTACGTAGAATATCAAATTATTTATCAATGTTCTCAAGAATATTAATAAATAAATCTGTAATAGCCCACATTTTGAATATTGTGCAACGATATAGCTATATTTAAATAACAATGAGATACAACAGTTACAAAAGATGCTAAACAAAGCTATGAGGATAATATTACAATGTAACAGGTATACTCGTATTGGCACGATGTTAAATGTTTAAAATTTTTTAAACATTGACAACGTATAGTTTTCTTCATGTTGTTCGAAGAAATTATCGTTGAATAGAAAGCAATTTTGTTTCATGCAAACTTTAGTGAGTTGAAGATTTTCTTTTACTATATCTTGACTGAAATTGTTTAATTGAGATCCTTAAGGTAGTCCAATGTCTGTGGTATCGGAACACTTGGGAACAATGAACAAACGTCAAAGGAGATTAAAATTTCACCTTCTTGCAAATGAATATTTTTCACCTTATTAATGAAATCATTGGAATTAATCATAGAGGAACTAGGTGGTGCAATTAGATAAATTTTCGAACTCCTCTGTTAACAATTTTGATAGGTGGTAAGTCGGCGATCCGATTGCTGAAACAATAGAACGCACCGACTTTCCTTGTTTATATATCTTAAGCAAGCAGTACAATCTGGGTACACTTGGGTTAGATACATGCAACCTCCTATTTAAAGCAGGAGTAACAAAGTTGTTGCAGGATTTAAATACATTATTTACATCAGTAATCATATTTGGTAATGGATTTCTAGAAAGTTTTTTTATAAGGACCATTACTAATCATATGTTCTACCCTTTCATAATAGTCCTTTTATCTAAAATAACTACCTTATTACCCTTATCAGCTTTTAAGTACAATCTCTTTCACGCAACCGTTTGATAATTTTTCAATTTTTCTCTCTTTTGTAGATTTTGACGTTCTATTTACTTTATAATATTTCTCGAGATTTGATTTCTGCAAGCTTCTCTGACAAATTCTTTAGAGGAATCAGGAAGGTATTGAATTGAACTTTCAACACTTACAAGAATCTCATCTAAAATGCCAACAGAGGCATGTAAAGCAGAATTTAATCCCTCGTTAAAGAGATCAATTTCTTCTTTATCAAACGACTGTAAGGAATGATTTTCTACAATGCTGAGAACTTTTTGAAGAACACTTTCTTTTGATTTTTTTTGTTTTTTTTTTGACGACATTTTCTTAATAAATTTCGCGTTAATTGATAAAAACATGTTCCTGTCAAAGTCACACCATTGTTCATGTTCTAAATTATTTAATTTATAGGTAAGCTTTTTGTAAAGCCCATATGCTTGTAATTCAAGCATGCCTCGATTAGTGTACAGATATTTAACTTTTAAATCCAGCCATTTCTGCTTTGCAAACATTGTTACTTTACCTGAAATGTGTGAGGAATTTGGAAGTTTAACTTGAAACAGATTTTGGAAATACTGAACGACGCGCGACATTTGCAAGTTTTTAGAAACCAAATATCTGATCCTATTAATCTAATCTTAGCACTAACCTTTTGATACAGATTCAGTTTCGTTGACCGTGAAGCTATTGTAGCCCTGAAGTGGGTGTTGCAATCTTTATTGCACTTACTCCCTTTAACAGGTTGTAGCTTCCTTATGAATTGATTTAAGGCAAATGTTTATATACAAAACTCAACTTATTTTTTTTAGTTCTATCACCCCTTTGAAGGACGGTACTTAATTATGGGACACCCTCATACATTTCTAGTTTATAATAAACGTGAATCCTGATGAGACTACTTCAAAACGTGCCAAAATCTAAAGGTTTAACGAAGGAAACGAGTATTTATACAATAAGTTAAAACATGCTCTACAAATGTGTTCCCTTATATTTCTCCGTATCTGTTATATTTATCAAGATACGAGCATTTATTTGAAAAAGGTACCAAAATTGGCCGCCATCTTGAATTTGTTGGGCCTGTTTGAAAAAATTCAGCTGGGCAACAAGCAGATTCGGAATCAGCGACCTTAAATTAGCAAAAAACTGTCTGTTGCCTAAAAGTCTACAAATTTGCTGTTAGACTTGATTTGATAGGCTTCTTAGAAAATTTGCCCTATCTAAGTCCTTCAAAATGCCGGGTCACTCGGCTTCATGTGCCTTTTCGATTTTATAGGCGTTGCGACGCCAACGCCGCCACTTAAGTAATGACAATGCGCTTTTCGCAAAAACCACTATTTTCGATGCGATTTCATCCTGTTTTTATCGCATGCGGATATGCCACTCCGTTCCACAGTTGTTCAAAACCGATTAAAACCCATTTTGTCCCAGTGGTGTGCTAACGCACCACATATTTTATGATTTTTTTTGTTAAATCCAGTAAATATTTTTGCATATCCATTTATAAATTTTATTATTATCAGTATTAGAGAACTTTGTACCGTACGAACTGTTGATTTTTATTTTAAAACAAAAATTTTATGACACCTCAAAAATCAAGAAAAACGCTGCATAATTTTGTGTCAAAGGTTGAAGTGAATCTAAAACAGTAAAATATTTTATTTTTGGAAAGTATTGTCCTTTTTGATAGGTCTATAATATGTAGATTACATGGTAGAAAAAATACATTTAAAATATAATATAGATTATGGTTTATTTTTATTAAATAATTACTGGTGCGTGAACGGACCACTGGTTTTATCTATGAAATAAAACCAAGCTATTGCCAGTCTCGACAAGTCAGCCTATGTAGCGTAAACAGTCGCCGATTAGTGTGTTGTTTAGTATTCGTTTGTTTCTTGTGCAGTATACGTGATATTTAATTGAAATCAGTAAAATATGCTGTTTTCGAGGTATTTGACTTAAAGGGAATTAGAAACGGCTATGGAGGAGTCGTGACGGATTTGGAGAATAATGATGAATTTTGTAAGTATTACTGGTATTTACGTATTTTTATATTTTATAGGTGCAATATTGTAATATTTCGTTCTTCGCGAATTTGTGCTAAAAATAACGTAAAATATTTATTTACAGAACATATTGACGCTGTTTATGTTCCACCCGCCGTGGATACGTTGATCGACGAGGAAGATATGAACGACGAAAGTAATCTACACGAGTTGAAAGTAATCTACACGAGTTTGAAGAACCAACTGATATAGTTGGAACATTCGAGTTGCATGTACCGGAATATGCAGAGATCCTTGACCAATCCTGTATTTTGTCGACTACAGAGCCTGAATGGGATTCAGATGATGAAACACTGGAATCCAAAAGAAGACGTATGCTTCCTGCAAATGACAGGCTTGTTTCTACAGTCAAATGGAAGAAAGGTGAGATTGAATATACTCACACACCTATATCCGATGAATTTCGATCATGCGAGGAACTAAAAAATAGGCTCTCAGGAAAAAAATCCACTTGAAA